TGGGCATGATGTCACAAATTTGTGTTGACACTAGAAAGCAGAGTTGAGAACCATCAGAAGTGGATGGACAGAGTACTCAGGAAATGGAAACATATGGTTGATTTTCTTGCTCTGAAAATACCATCAAGGTAAACTGTGGTGCTGCTATGCTGCCACTTTTTCTTGTTTGCAGATATAAGATGTAAAAATGACTGTTCTGAATTCACAGAAGGCTGCCTGCATGAGACAGGCTGCAATTTCCTATCAGTTATCACAGTATAATTATGTCTTGTAAAAACAGATAAGTAAAATGTCTACTTTAAAATGCTCTTAAAAAGTCCTATAACACCCCTTAATAGTAACTGAGGGACAGGCACCTAAGAAATACAATTATATCCAGGAAACTTTACATAAAACATGATCAAAACTAAATAAAGCAGATATAACTATGAAAAGTACATTCAATGCACAATTTCACCACTTCATGCTGGAAAATTTCTGAAATGGAAAGTTTTTAAAATCTAATTCACACTTGTCAAATTTCAAGGACCTTCCGAAGCTGTAAGGAAAGCCCCAAAATGAAATTAATGAAACTTCTATGTGAAATTCGACATAAACTAGAATATGAACTTAGTCTTATTTTAACTTCTAATTAATGTATTTCTCCATTTCTCTTCCTTTCTGATAGCTGAGGCTATTCTCTGACTCCTGTTTCCATCATTCTTGCTCCATTAAATAACTGTCTTTCAGCATTGTTCATTCACTTAGAGCTGAGGACTTAAAGCTGAAAAAACTTTATATTAAGAAAATAGAATCAGTCTTCAGTACTTCTGACTCTTTATTTACAAAGAGCAGGTTCCTTGGCCACGCTTAAAACCTTCCTGGAGGTCTTCAAAGAGCCTTACAGCTGTTATTTTTTCAAAATGTAAAAAAACCCAAAAAGTGACATCCTGAATAGCCAAGCTACAAGCATGTTTACTGTATTATGAGGACCACATCTCAGCTGCGAGGATTTGTCTGAGATTTACCAGGTTGCAGTTCTTGTTTTTTTTCTTTTCTTAGAATACTTCATTGCTATGAGGGCTTAAACAACAAGAGACCTGCAGCCCCACAGCTTTATTTACATAACGTGATATAGAGGAGTAAGATCTTGAGTTTGCTTCTCATTTTGGAAATTAGGACACTTCGTTCTTTCATCTGTACCTTCTCAGCATTGCACAATTGTTTGACTGATCACAAGAGGACTAGTTATGCACTGGCTTGTCTCCGTGGTCACAGGAAAAGAGGAAGGAATAAGCAGTCTTCCCCTGCAGCATATGGGTCAGATAGACTCATAACCCAGATGCCTGGGGGAACTCAAGCACCGCATCTAATTGCTCTTCTGGAAAGCTACAGTGGTTGACAAGGGAGGGTTCAGCCAGAGGCGTGATACAGCAGCCTTTGTAACAAGTTCCCTGTAACTGTGCATGCCAAGTATCAGAGTACATCCAGTTCATGCCATGAAGACTCTTCCAAATACAAGTCTATGCCTTGGGGGCATGATCTAGCTCTATATATTTATTTCTTTATAGCTATATTATCAACATGCAAGTTTCCTTATCCTGACTGGCCACTCTGATTCAGCCCTGAATGGCTCTTGTGCTCTGAGTTCTCATGTGAACAGATAACTGGAAAATGCAAACTGTGCTTAGAGAAAGAGCCAAAGGAAGGTAAAATTAAACCCTTTTCCAAGAGCCTCCATGGAGTGACTTGAATACAGAGACATTCATCATCTTCCACAAAGAGAGAGAGAGGGAGCGCTTGCCTAGCGCAGTACAGTCTCACGTGGATTGCCCCAAGCTAGCCCTAGGCTAACAATGTATCTACATAGTACAGAAATACTGTGAACCCAAAATCAGCCTTGTCAGAGTGATGCTCAGGCTTATAAGCACAGCCAGTTTGTGAAGCTAATTTGCTAAGATCCTGTACTGTGGCTTAACTGCTTCTGGAACTGAGATTGACCTGTTCAGAATGGGTAAGTGATGAATTTGACTTTATTTCACAGTATAAACTCCCCCTTGTCATTCACACCTAGTTTTGATGAGGACTCATATTGCCTGAACACTATCCATTTATTTCAAATACTACCAAGACCTCTTGATGATGATGAGAAGGAAATTAATAATCAGTGTATCTCTATGCTTCAGGATTTGGAGGAGGAGAGAAATTAGCAAGCAAGCTGTAAACAGTTTAGCTTAAGTATCAGAAAGAGGCTTGTCAAACACTGCAGATCACTGCATGGGCTCACTTAGAGGTCAGGTGCTCTGCAGTCTGTAGAGCAAAGACAAATGAGGTTCATGCACATGAGCTACTTGGTCTCCCTCAGCGTGTCTCTGTACTCTCCAATTGAGGTAATGCCCCAAGGATGAAAATCCTGAGAGCAGGAAGCCACCCAGCACTGCCTCTCCACCATGAGAACTGCATACACAAATCACAACCTACTCTTAAAATCTCTGCCAGTTTGTTCCCACTGAGGATCTGGGAAGGTAACAGAAAATATTGTAGTGGATTAAGAAGATGAGGATTAAATGACCATAAACTCACAGCATCCTGTTTCATGCCACAGTTAGTGAAGCATTCATTGATCTTGGTATTTTTTCTTGACATGTAGAATATAATCAGTTTTCTGTGTTGTGATAGGATAGGAAATACCAGTCTCTGAGAGCAACAGCTTGTAATGGCCTGGTTTTGATCTCATTTTTGATCATCTTTTCTTTTTCTATCCTCTTGTACAAACTTGACCTGGAAAAAAATATGAACTCTTCTATAACACAGACATCTGATACCATCATTCACTTTTAAAAATTTCTACCTTGAAGAATTCTAATTTCTTTGTAGAGTAAGTGTAGTTTGTCCCTGATTTTTACTGTACAGATTCTGTATGCATTAGTTTAGGATTAAATCCACAAAGGAGCCTACATCCCAGCTGACTCTCCATTCTACATGTTATATTGATCCCTTCTTTCCCCTTATGCAAAATCTCAATGTTTAGCAAACACATTGAGGTTTGGTTCTTCATGGCCTCTGGTTGCAGTGTTATTTAGCCTGCAGGTTATAGCTCACCCTCAAACTGCAGTATGAAATGGTGTCTAAGAGTACATCCTGCTGCATTATTTCACTCCTCATGACATGGTGAAATTGTGCCAAGGACAGTCTCTGAGCTCCACTCTTCACAGCTGTAAAAGTCTGTGCTGGTTTAAAGGTAAACCAGTCGGGGAAATGAACTCAACTCAAAAGAGAGATTATAAGTCAGAATAACAATTTAATAAAATAATACAATAAGTACAATTATACAGACAAACAATTGGTTTTAACCCACAAAACCCAAATATATAACCCAGCACCTTGGGGCATGAACAGAGTGGTGTTCTTTGGGCCCCCTGAGTCCAAAGGAAAAAGTGAGGGGGAAACCTGTTGGTGAGAGTGCTGTGGCAGTTTGGTCAAAAGTAGTGATTGCAGTCCGGTTGAGGGTGGTGGTCTCAGTCTGGTTGAGAGCAGTGAGCTGCAGTCTTCCTCTGGATCCCACAAGTGGTAAAAAGGTTCCAAAACTCCAAGTTTATATATTCTCCAGTTCAGGCAGGAATGCTCAGTCCTTCCCTCAAAGCAGGGAATTCCATAAAAGGGTATGAGGACAGGAACATCTTCCTATCTCGCAGGCCTCTACTGCTAACAATTTCTGGGAAATGGCATGGAAGGCTATAGAATACACAGTTTTGGGTTACACCCATACCATGATGAACTGGTCTCAGCTGTCCTAACTAGGACAAAGTCACACAGGAAAATGAAGGCCAGTTCCTTCCTAATCCAGAGGCCACTGGACCTTCAATGAGGGTTTGCCACTCAAGGGACCCTGACACTTAGGGTGGAGCTGAATCAGGTCCAGCAAGGAAAAAATGCAGAGACATATGGGTCTGTACAGAGAGAAAGGGCTTACAGGTACTTCCTTGACGGCTTCCTTCTTCTAGAGATACAGAAAACTCAACATGAGTCTCATCCCTCCCAGACTATTGCCAGCCCAAGCGTGAGGAAAATCTATAGAAGTGAGCTTGTGGCTGCCATTACAGCATGATGGTCATGGTCAGTGGCAGCTAATCTTAGCCTGACAAACAGCTGCAATTCTTGTAACTTTCATCTGGCTTTCTGAATAATTGTACAGATTTTTCTTGAAGTAATTAAAATAATAATTATATTATAAAAATACTTTACAAGATAATCTCCTCTTCAATTTCCTTTAATATTTTCTGGGGAATTACTATGGGTAACATAGAAAATAGGTAATTAAATTTCATTTCTATTACCATTTTGACAGCCTGAACTCTTTCACAGGGTGACAGATTTAATTTCTCACACATGGCTTATATTGTTTTAAAATGGAATAATAAGTGGCATGATATTGTTTCTTGCTGTGGCACCTAAACCATTATTTAGCAATATATCTGAAGTATTTCTTCTGAACTGATAGCCATTAAAATTTTTAAAGAAGAACCTCAGCAGGGGTAGATTGATACGGCATCACTGGAATCAGTTGTGCCGTGCTTATTCACACAAGCTCAGGATTTAACCTGTAGTATTGTTATCACATTTTTTTCCTCTTACCAAATTTCAGCATATTTTTCTTATTGATGGTCTGGAACAAGGCATGGAAAAAACCCTGTGAATTCATTATAAATCCAACCCTGCAACCCAGTGGGCTACACAAGGTGTGATGTGTCATTGTCAATTTGTGCTGAAGACAATGGCAGCAGAAGGTGCTCTACCTCTTTCCAGCAGCACTCAGCAACTCATACGATTTAGGTTGCAGGAGCAAGCTTTGTTTACATAGCTGCCAAGGACATACTTACAGCTAATTCCAGAGACATCAATGTTAGAATAAGCCAGAGCAAAGAAAAGGGGGATAACTCTCATGAATTCCTCTTTCCAATACTAATTTGAAGGCTAATAAGGGTTACATAATACTGCTGCTTTCTGTTCAAAATCAAGTAGTTTAATTCACCTCTGAAATAACAGGCCTGTATTAAAATCCTCAACTATGGATATAAATACTTGCTTTCTGTACAAGTTAATAGCTTTTCTGCAGGCAAGGGTAGAGGAAGTTTAAGAAGGTCATAATTTCCTACAAGCTATATTAAGAGAGGGTCACTTGGAGGTGCCACGCATCCCAAAATGAGTTGCAAAAGTTCATAGGAATCCCTTGATAATGGCATTGCCTGTTGTGCTTCCATGATGCTGAATTTTAGTTCTGTTTCCAGAAAGGAAGTTTCTGTCCTATTTGTTATAAAATAGATGTGAAAATACAGGTTAACACAGAGCAGAATATCTGATAGCTAATCTGAAAGGGAGTAACCTGCTACAGCAGAAAACAGGTAAATTCTAAAATAATTATATAGACTTAATAAATGAGTAAATCCAGCCCTTTACACTTGCTTTGCATTCTTTGGAACCATTCTACCAAAATCTTTTTGCCTCAGTTCCTGAAAAGAATTTTGTGATAACACAATATGGACTTCAGCTTTTTGTTTATGGGACAGACAAGTTTATTTGTATACTAACCCACGCCTGCTAAGGTGAAGTAAAAGATCTATAATTTCTAACCCCTCAATTATTTCAGACACAGTGCCTGCAGCACTGGGAACTGTATTTCTGTACTCTGTATCCATTCCTCTGGCAGCCTTTAAGACACACCTCAAAAAGACCATATAGCAGTGCTAAGTAAAAGCAGAAATGAAGGCCAGCTAATGTTCTGCTGAAGCTGTTGCAATCTTTTCTCAACCTGGTAAAGCAAAAGGCAGTAGGTAAAGAGGTTACAGATAGGGAAGCAGCTGAAAGGATGATATATCAAATGGAAGAATAACACTGTGTGGTTGGTTACAAAATTAAGGTATTTATCTCCTCTATAAAATAGTAATAACATCCATTGTCTCTGCTTAAATGTATCATTGAGAATTTGTCTTATGTGAGAAACTGCCTGTTCCTTCCTCAATAGAAGGTAAGAAAATTATTTAATATTTGACCAGAATTAGTGCAGCATTTTGGAAAATTTTGCATAGTCAGTGTGGACAAGGTGAGAAACATTTTGGGTAATGCTGGCAGAAATTCAGGAAGCAATTACTAAAAGATGTAGAGTGAATGTAGAAATATTCCAGAATGTGTAATTGCAACACTGGACCTCTGGCATTTTAAAGATCCCTGACGCACTTGCATAAAATCTACCAGGAGAGAATGAAAATTTGTACAAATTAGTAGTTAGCTTCATTTTGGAGATCAAATCAATCTCCAGCAGCATTGGTAGGTTAATCAATGCTATCTCACTAAAACTAAACCAGTTCTTGCCAGCAAGTGGCCTCTTCTGCCCACACTGGGGCTCAACATTGACTGTGGCAAATTGGACACGGAGCTAATCAGGTTTTTTAGCTCATAGTAGCATATTTACTTTGGCCACTTTGGCCTGAGGTTGTGCAGATGTCAAGTAAAAACAGCCATTTCCAAAACAGAAGAACTGCAACAGAACTTCTTGACTACCTCAGCTTGTCTCAGACAGCAGTGCTGCCTAGCTGGCCTCAGCAATTTACCACTACTGAGTTTGGGTGGATTTGTAGAGGGTTTTTCTTGTAACTGGCAGAGCATGTCACATTTATAATAAGCGTCTAGTACTAGAGGAGTTGGTGCTGAATGGCAAAAAAAAAATTTGAAAGAAAAATGGGGATGAAATGCATAAATGATGAAATAGATATCTTTGTCCTTTTATATTTGCTGAGTTATAAGAATGTATCTAGCCTAAACTATGATGAAGTTCCACTCTGAACCATTATTAAGAAGTCCAGAATATAAAAAAGTATGCTAATTATAAGCTACATTTTATAAAACAAATGTAAAGTAGACATTTACCTTCAAAAGTCTGTAGTCAGAGACCAGAGTACCTACCAGAAGTTTATGACTTCCTTTCTTCGGAGCATTCAAACCCCAGGTACACATCTACAGGAAAGCAGAGTGAGAAATTCAAGCACACAGTGAATCAATAGGAAGTAGGCAAGAAATTGCTGTGAAGTAACTAGGAGATAAGTGGATTAATCTCTCACAAAAGTTGGCAAGGTTTTTCCTGCTTGAGCTTTACTAGCTGAAATTTGAACTGAACATGGAGCCTCCTGTGGGGTGTTTAACCTCCTGCAATCCCATTTATCTCAGGGACTAAAACGTTCAGTTTCTTCTAAAGGAAAATCAGTAGCCCCGAAGATTAGCTACATGCTTCCATGATTCATTAATTGTGGAGGAAACTATGTCAGTCTGATATTTAACTGATTTTTAAACATTATTATTATTTTTAAATACCGTCAAAGTAAACCTCAAAACAAAAAGGTCATTTGAACAGAGCAAGTAAAATCTAGGAAATATCAGAATTAAACATGGATTTTTAATATGATTTTGCTGTTGTGTTTTGTGATTTTGTTTTATTCCTGAAGGAAGAATGTGATAAAACCAAAGCAAAATCACAAATGTAAACTCTGACCCCATGTTAGAAACCACAGTAGCTGTAACAGTAACTAATGTACAAAGAGTTATCATAGTTAAGAGCAAGTCTCTCTGACCAGTGTGACTGAGGAAGTTCACATACACATTCATACATGGAAGCCTGCCACACACTATATCCAGAGTCCTTGCTTCGAGGTGTCTGTTCACCTCCTCTGGTTAACTGGTTGGAGCATGGATAGCAACCAGAGATTGCTCTTTTTTTTCATCCCTTGCAGATGTCCCAGTCCATTGAGGAGAAAAGTATTATACTCTTCTGAGCAACAAGTGCCTTTTGCTGAACAGAGTGCTTTTCTTCCTTCCAAGCTCATAGGACAATAAAGCTACAAAGCACAATCTGGATTTCTTTCTGAAAGCAGTGCAAGATACAGAGGAAAGAATTTACAGTGATTTTACACTCAGACCTTCTTTGTTTCTTTTTCTTTTTTTTCCCTTAAATTTGATGTGAAGTTCCTAGGAAATTATGTGCTTATGTTAATGTAACATTAAGCTTGATAAATCAAGTTCTCAAATGTCTGAAATGCAGAAGTCAGGCTGTAGGCTCAACCTTTACTCTGGCTCTTTGCCTCTTTCTTAAAATACAGTCTGTCTCTATGTTGTTATAAATTATTACTCAGACTACGTAGGAGTCAGTATAACACAAACTGGAATTTCCTACAAGGTTTTATAAATAGTAAACTCATGACAGAAAATGCTGTGCGGCTGGACTATATAAGGAAAGAAGCATTTTACTCACAAATGCTTCCGTATGTTCTTTCTTGTGTTTCAGTTTGGCATGATCATCTCTCTGCCATTATTCATGCAAGATTTTGGTTATCATAGGTATTGTGGAGGTGCTGTTCCTCACAGTGACACTGATATTCACGTGCAAATGAAAGTATTCATATGTGAACACAAGTATACATTTTTTCCTGCCAATGCTGCTGGATACTGAAGATAAGCCTTCATGGCCTCAAAGGATAGAAGGTGAACACCCTGGAAGTAAAAAATTCTTTAAGGCCTCCTGCTTTCTAGATAGTCCCGACTGAACAGCTATCAGTAGTAGCAGGTCAGGAGTCTGTGCAAGGTTGGATTTGTCTAGGATCAGCCCTATAGCCACAGTAAACACTGATTGTGTGATGGCAACCATCCTCAAGTGTGGGCAAGGAAGACAAGACTGATCAATATTCGCCTCATGGCCCCTTCTTTAGGCACCAGTCACTTCACATGCATCTGTCTTAGTCCTTTGCTGAGTAAAGCCCTTTAAGATCACCAGAGGAGGTATATGTTAAGGTAACTTCCCTGTCTGATCATCCAGGAACCACCATGACAGTCGCACTCACAGTGCCTGAGTTGGGACAGAAGCCCACGGTGTTGGGTGTCATCGGCTCCTGCTGTGTCTGTAATTGTCCAGCCACCTGGCTGGTGCCACAGGTCCCTGTGCCCTTTGTTATGCAAAAGGTCCCAAGCAGAGCTCAATCTGGCACTGCAGTTTGCACACTGAGCTACCTGCACTGCATGTCTTCCCCGATGCATTTTATAAATGTTTCATGATGTTTCATAGGCACATGTACAGCAGTTTCATAAAAGGGTGGCATGTAGGGTTCCATCTTCTGTCAGAACCCCAGCCCAACATCCACACTGTTTTAACGATAAACAGCATTGATCCATTGATAAGAAGCCTCATTATAGACAGGGTGAGCTATAATCCTTAACTTCTCTCTCCTATCAGGAGCTCCCTGGGTCCAAGAAGTCCCATTCCTGCCCTGCACCCAGGTCAGCCCATTCACAGCAAATTACGCCTTGGTGGAAAATTTTCCTTGTGTCTGAAACACAGACAGAAAGAAGGAAGAGAGGAGAGGCTCAGATGTTTGTAGCAATCTGGTCTGTTTTGAACATAAAGCTATTGGAAGACAAAGAGAATTTGAGAAAGCTGTACTTTTATTTCTCAACATGTGAAAGAATATAGTACAAATGCCATTCTGGATATACCACATCTAAATATGAATGCACCATGTTAGAAAGAAGTCAACTGGTCAAGTTTTTTACCCTGGATAACCTCTAATGAGATTTATCAGACTTCCAACAGCAATTTTCATCACACAACTAAGCATGGTATTATTATATCTGTGATTGAGAACTCTAGAAATTTTGATAGCTTTCAGTCAGATACTTATCTCTGGACACAAAGAGAAATTTTACAATTGTACCACTGCAAAGTTGTCCAGTTTTAAATAAATTATTTCAACTTTAGTCAAAGATGTGTCTTGTACTGCTTTAAAACGAGTACTTGCTTCATGCACATTTTTGACTGGTCTCAGATTACTCTTCGGGAATTATTCTTACATCCTGTGCATAAAGATGTGTACTTCCCTTGAGGATATATTCAAGGTAAAATCTTACTCTAAGTGACATGCTTGCATTTACATTGGAGAGTAGGAGAGGTAAAGGCACCTTCAGGTGTTTGGTGGAGGTCACAAAGGCTGTTCCAGAATGGAAGCAGGGTATCCCTCTGGACCAGCCAGGGTGAGACCCAGTGAAGAACTGGTAGACCCTACTCCACCACCATCACACACTGGTGAAAGGAATGAAAACCTATGCATTGTGAGAGGAAAGGATGCTTCACTACAGAATTTATGTGTCACAAATTACTTTGTGCTCCTACTGTGTGCAGTGAGGACAAGCTCTCCACCAAGGCTCAATGTTTTGGGTACCTTTCACCATAGTCTTAATTTTGGGCATTACCCATGGCATGATTTAACCTAGTGTGAACAACTCCCTGGCAAATCAATTTTTTTACATATAATTTTTGACATATGTTATGTTTAAGTTCCTTCCATTAAATGCTATTCTTTACATCTTAAATTATTTCAGACAGTTTCCTTTAACATTAACTGGAATTAACATTTCCATTGTAATATATTGCAAGTGACATCTGTTGGACCAACTTTTCCCTCCAAGAATTATATGTCCTACCAGGCAGACAACCTCATAATTTTGTGGAATTATTATATTATGTTGTTCCCAAGAAAAATAAATGTATTCAGTTTTCCTATAGGCAGTGGCATTAAATAACAGTTACACAGCTCAGTCCTCTTCCTGCTAAATTTGGTGGCTAAACTCCCACTGACTTCATGGGAGCAGGATTTTATTTACTGTAACATTCACAGAAATTAAGGGTTAGCCTCTAAAAGTAGGGAAAGTTTGGCCACATAAGCCTCCAAAGGCCTAGATATTTAAAATATATCTGTTGCTGCTACTTATATGTCCATACACTTTCAGTATCCCTTTCACATGCTTTCATTAATTGCACAAAAATATTTGTGAATACAGTCAAAACAACTGAAATAATTAATGCTTATTTTTAGGGGCAATTGCTAATTCCTTCCAATAGGAAGTAGAAATTTACCTACTTCTCTTTCTCCAGACAAGAAAACCAATCTTTCGAAGGTTAGCTGACAAAATAAAATCCAGAGAGGGGCTTTTGCACATTTAACCACACCTATATACAAACTTATAGCTCCCTTATCCAGCACCCTGCCCAGATCCAAAGGTGTCTAAATTCCCTAATCTCTTAAGCAATATTCTATGTTCTTGTGCTGGAAAAAAATGTTTCCAGATGTATGATATCTGGTGTGCCTTTTTTTTTTTTCTGAGATTATTGCCCCTTCCAGCCATGCCTCCAGCTTTCCCTGGTCAGGTCTGCCATTCCTCACTCCAAGAAATGAGCACTGCAAGAAGTTGCTTTACACAGAGGAGCACCTCACTAAGGAAATATTTAAGTCCTGACCCATGCTGAGAGGGTGAGGAAATTCTCACTCTCTAAATTACTTTAAACCCTTTTCAAGAAAGAGACTTCCATCAAAAGAGTGCCTCCAGGCTAATCCTTCCAGGTGGCCAGAGGACAGAGATACTGAACATAGGCAGAACATTTCAGGAGACTCTAACCTTTAAGACTGCATAAACTACTCCTTTCTGCAGAAATCCCAAGAGACAACACACCTCCACAGCATGAGGCACTCCCTATTTTTTCAGGCTTTGAGGAAAGGGATGGTCATTTATTGCAGGCTCAAATGAACAGTAAATATCAATATTTCCTGCCTGACTCAGCTGCCCTATTTAGTGTATTGATCTGCCTATCTTCCAATTCCTATTCCTGCACACCAAGGGAGGAAAAACAAGCAGTTATTTATGGCAACTCACCCCAACCCTAGTCCCAGGGGCACAACAAGAATTCTTATTTCTTCCCCTTTCTTTGCATGGGTACAAAATGCAAGTCACATTGTCACTTGCTGCAGTCTGCTCAATGTTTAATAAAATATGAATGTAGAAACCTGGAAATGTTACTGAAAAAGGCACATGTAACTGAAAAAGTTACCTGCAGTCCTGCATGTCCCAGTACTTCTACCTATACTGCCAAATGAGGAAGACCACACAACCTCTCTCCTTCATCATAGCTGTAGCCTGCCCTGGTTGGTAGCAGTTACAAAAGAAGTGCAATCTCTTATCCCACCATGATTATCATTTACAGGAATAATGTCAGGAAAAGCATAAAAATCAACCAACCAACTGAAGAAAAAAAACCAAAAACCCAATAGATAATTTCTTTTTTTAGATTAAGATTAGATAATAATATTACTTTGCTCTCTTAAAATCTGAATTCTTTGTTACAACTGAGTAAACTGTAATACGTGTTTTTAAATGTCTGAAATGCCTTCTGCATCCAAACCAATATAGAATAATGCTAATAATTTTCTTGTAATACTAGAAGAAATACCCAAGGCAATAAAATGCTATGAAAGGATGCTTTCCTTATCGAATTTCATAAAAACTTGAAGGCTTAGTAGATTCTATTTCTTTTTTCAATAGATATTTAGATAAAATGAGGAAAATAGCCTTTTTTGGTACTTTCAGGTACAGCCTTTTCTTAGAATTCTAGGAATCTTTCACAGTACAGCAGATAAGAATTCTCGCCCTAAAAAAAATCCAGTGGCTTTGTAACTAAATAATGTTACCCCTCTGGTCAAAAAAATTCACTGCAGAAATTGTATTCAGTTATGAAAAGAAAAATTGGAGAGAAAAATTATCCCCTTTAACAATATTTTGTACTAGTTCTGTTCCAAAATTTTTAGCCAACACAAGAGAAGAAGCATAAAACAGACATGAAACAATAACAAAACCCTATGCATTATAATTAAAATAATAGAATCATGGAATGGACAGAGTTGGAAGCCAGAGGTGAGGTCAGTAGTTCCCAGAGTCCTCCTTTCTACCCTTTCTGAAGGGTATAATATTTCCCCTTCTTCACTTACCTTGGACTTAACTTCAGAGCCACGACTTTTCAAAGATTATAGAGAGAGGTTTGGCAACTACATCAGCCAATTCACTCAGGACTCTGGGATGCATCTCATCAGATCCCACAGACTTATGTGCATTAAGGTTCCTCAGGTAGTCATGAACCTGATCTTCACTTATAGTGACTTTGCTCTCCTAGTCCCCATCCTGCTGTCCATCCACTCAAAAGGTGTGGGAAGAGAGATTGCCATTGAAGACTGAGGCAAAAAGTTGTTGAGTACCTCAGCCCTCTCCTCATCCACTGTTTATGAAGGAGGGTGCATACATCTTCTTTGACCTTCCTTTTCTCGTTAACGTAGCTGCAGAGACCATTCCAGTTATTCTTTGCATCCCTTGCCAGCTTCAGTTCCAGCTTCGCCTTGGCCTTCCTCACCTCATCCCAACACAGTCATATTTCATCTTCCCAGGTCAGCTGCCCTGGTTTCAACTGTCTATGTATTTGTTCCTTTCCCTTTTGTTTGACCAGTAGGTTCTTACACATATCGTAACAACTCAAAATTCAGACACAAAAATAAAATGAAGTCATTCAGCAGGAGAAAAAAAAAAAAAGAAGAAAGAAACAGAATAACTCAAAACTTTTAAAGATAATATATTTTGTTTTCTTTGATTTTATAGTAAAAAATCTATCTCCCTTTTGTTTACTCTTCCATAATATCCTAATAATGGTAAAATATACCAGGACACTTAAAACAGGAATTGGTTGTACTATGATAAGATCATTCAGATTTTGCAAAAGGCCAGTTACTCATGATATCAGTGTGACTAGAACTGCTTTTAGACATCACTTTGGATTTACCTTTGTGATCTTCTTAATTTTAAATAACAAGAGAAAAACTTAATGTCTTAAAAATGCCAGCTACTACTACAGATTTAGAGACTTATCATAAATGAAAACACAATAACTAAAAGGGGGGGCAGATTCAATGGTGGTAATAAAGCAGATGCTTCAAAATACATTGTTTTCCTTCAATTCAGGATGCAGAAATTCATTGACAAAGAAGAGCTAAAGAACCTATATTTCCCACTTTTCTCAATTATTGAAGCATCTCGAAAGTCAGGGGAGCTATGTGGATTTAAATTGTTGAGTCTTTAGCACTACTTTTTCTTCTCTTTTTGGTAACCATGCAAACAACACTTCTAGGTTAATTGAATGTAAAAAGATTCTTTACTCTTTCTGAGTCAGAAAATAACCTGAAACAGAGATCCAAAAGAACTCTTCACTTAGTCACAACATGCAGTACCTGTACAATACACATTTCAACAGCATTTATCAGATTTCAGTTAGTTTCTATGAGTGACAGCCAGTTATTCATTCATTTACTTTATCTTCTACACTCACCATTAAAAAAAAGATAGAAATCAACGCCTCCATATTTGCAGTGGGACCTGGTAATTGATATCTCACACTGTGGTAGCTCTGCCTTAGAACTATTTTGTCCAAATAATAATTCTTCTATAAAATTTGTGTACTTGGTATACCACCTTCAACTGCTTAAAAAAATGAGGAATGCAGCATTGATCCTAGCTTCTCTACTTTCAGGAAACTTCTACAAATTTACTCAGAAACTGCAGGAAGGTATTTCCCTGGAAGGCCACAGATTTTGGGAGCTTCAAACAATTTGTGGGAAGGTGATCCACACAGGATTTTACACAGGACAGTGTCACTGTTTCTGTACTTAAAATGGTTTCGGGCCCTTCCCTCCAGTCTGCATTCCTTCAGATGAAAAGAAACAGAATGAGGTTTGACCAAGCAGGAGGAGTCCCAAAGCCTGCATCAATCAGCTAAGCTCTATTGAAGTCAATGAGCCAGTTTATCCTGGCTGAACTATGGGCCCCTAATCTCTATAAAAGAATTCATCTACACATTTGGTACAATAAAACCCAACAAAGCTGTGAAATTTCCATTTCCAAGTTGGATACGTCTGTGGAGGTTGGTCATGGATGGAAGCAGCCCTGATTTCAGTGCCAGCAGGGGAAGGAGGGATCCCCTCTGGTGCTGGGCATTATCACATGAAAGGTAGAATGTGGTGCCCTGGGAAGTATTAATCTAGAGTGCAGTGCCTCTTTTTTCCTCTGCTAGAGCCAGGCCTGGATGTGTATAAACAAACAAGCCAGCACAGTGCCAGGTATCAGCTAAGCTTTCCACCAAATACAAGCTTTCACATATTTATGCAGCATCTGCAGTGCATTTAAAGGTCTGTATGGATTACCTTGACTTGATATCACCTGGAAAGTTCTATTAACCACAAGTGCTTAACCTGCAAGTCATTCCTTCAGCTAATGAAAAACGTTAACTTGCATAAAGGTGCCTCTCAACTCACTTTCCTGCATCCTCTCTTTAGAGGAACGTCTTGGGAGTTCTTGTATTTCCCTTTCCTAATATAAATTTTACAAGTGTGAAAGAACATCTGATGAAAGTGCTTTTGTTATATTGACTCTAGAAAAGATACGATTGATTACAGGCCTATTTGCCTATTGCTAGTTCTGCTCACAGAGGTGACAAAGGAACAAAAAAAAAACCCAACAAAAAAACAGACAAAAAAAGCTACATTTATTCTCCATTTGTCTGTGTTCTCATTTACACCAGGCTAATTTCAAACCATATGTGTATTTCACATTGTGCCAGCATAAATGACTACACAGCTGCAGAGCAATACAAAGTCTGCCCTAAAACCAGGGATGTTCAGATCATCCGTGAGCACTGTTACCCAGGAGACCAGTTTATGCAGTGAGCTTAGAGGAGATGACTGGAAGGGAAGTCTCACCTTGAGTTAATGATGCATCATACAACAGATTTTAAAAATGAAGATTGCAGAGCAATAAGTGACTATACAAAAGTCCCATTGTGCAGGCAACCAAACAGACAGAAGTGTGTATAAATGGGTATACTACTTCAAACATTAGGATCATACGAGTGGGAATAACCTCAGATAATCTACCTCCTCTAGGGCAGAGTGCCAGAGGGTTTTTTTTAATTTATTTTCCAATAAAGCCACCCTTGTATAGCTTGTCACATCAGCACAGTTTCACTGAATGGACTAGAGTGTGACATAAACAGCTGAATCACGCAAGTTGCAAGTACTGAAAACCTGTTGGAAAGGGAAAGGAAGGAGTAATAAGTGGTATAATCCACTAAATGCTTTAAAATCCAGAAGCAAAGGGCCACTGGGAGTGAAAGGTGGAAAGGTGCCTGTATTTGCTTGTGCCTGAGAGATGCTATGGAGGTGGTGAGCTGAGAAAAAGTGGTTCCTTGGGAGGAGGTGGGCAGTAACGGCTAAGCCAGGTCCTTCCATGGGGATGGCACTGGGTTCAGGGGTGTTTAATGTGGATCACTCCACCAACATCCAACTCTGCATCAGACAGGAACATCAGAGGGATGGTGGACAGTGGGTGATGGTCAGACACCAGTCTGGCTACTGGGGGTTGTTGCTCTAGGTAAACCACAACCTGTCTGGGACCACACAGGTAAGTGGCATCTCGCTCCTTCACCAGTTTGACCTGTTTTGGTCATATAATTTAACACTTTACCCCTCAATCCAAGTATGGACCAGTGAACAAGTCCTTCCTCTTCATGTTCCAGTTAAGAAGGTCTGTATTTTCTTGCCTCTTTTACAGTGAATATCTATTCTCAGAGACCATCTAGAAATTCTCTAAAGAAAATCACATTGTCTTTCTTGAATGCTTTCCCTTTGACTTATTTTGCTGTTCTTTGCTTTTATGACTGCTGCCTTCTTTCCTTTATTTGCACTGCATACCATATCAGTATTTCAGCTCATTTTCTTCTACTTTCTTTGTACTTTCTTTTGCCCATTCCCTCAGTAAATGTCATTTCCAAGAACTGTGATTTTTGGGTCCTGAATCTCCTATCTTTTCCTTCAGTGTTCAGAGTTGCAATAGTTTTTATTTCTTTTTTCCAACTCTCTTTACTTTTTGCTTAATTAGACTGTTCTTTTTCTCTTATGCTTTCATTGCCCTAACAGTTCCTTAACATACCTCTCCTTTGCTCCACAGACTTTATTTTTTGTATCTGTGCTGAACTAAAACAGGGGATAAAGTCAAAGTTGCCTTCCACCACTTCAAGTCCTTCTTGACATGCTTTACTTTTAACCCCTTTTCATCTAATTATGCAGTCCTATCCTACATTTCTTACTGAATCTAATAACTCTTTTTTTCACAAATTTTGCTTTACCCTCTTTCACCTCCATTCTCTCATTTCTTCAAAAGATATTGCCTTAATGTACAAGTTATCAAAGCCACAAGTTCTAAAACCAGTATCACCTCTTAAAATATTTTAATCAAGCAGTTGTGATGGGAAAAACCTTTTAATTTCTATTTCAATATAAATTGAATTCAAGTAACGGCATCTTGTGAATTAAATTCTAACAGGTGTGTTAATTCAATATAAGACAAAATAGTATTTTGAGATATCCTTTCATTTTGTTATAAAAAAGGTGCTTCAGTCATTCAGGTTCACAGGATTATGAATTGACAATTGACACTGAGGAGAAGCACGTTTGTTCTACTTTGGGCTTTTTTAAGCAAAGCTCTAAAGATTCCCCTGGGATTGTTGGACTTGAGATTGAATGAGAAGTTAAAATTTATTTTACTTGTTCCTAAGACCCAGCAGAAGACAAACACTCTTCATATCTGTCACTGTTTTTCAGAGGAACCTTTGTCTTGAGCCTGGCCTAACAAGTGGTCATTTCCCTTGCCCAGACAGTGCACTGTGACCTGAGACTGAGATTCCAAGTCTGGTAATGACTCCTCCTGAAGCACAGGCTCTTTTCACTGCAGTCCAAGCAGCAGTTACACACTTTAAGCACAGCAAAGAACTTCTAAGGGGCAACCTCACCATCAAACATCCCAAAGCCTAGTTTTTTTGAAAACCGATGATAAATCAGGTGGGATCTTCTGAACATCAACCTAGGCAGCCATTCCCTGGGGTTTTTGATAAAGCAGAAATGCTTGAACTTTATCTAGCTCCATCCATCCTGCCACATTTGTCTTCCCTCATGCTGGGTTAAATCCCATGGGCAAGCCAGTAGCAGAGCAGTGTGGCATTAGATATGGGCTTTGGAATCCCAGTCAGGGTGGGCTTGCCCACCAAACCTCTGGTCCAGGGCCTTCAAGAGTCTATGGAGTTGCACATGGACTGAAAAGGGTCTGGTGGTGCTTAAGGGTTGTCTTTAGGAACATAAGTTGGTATGTAGGTACAGGCAGCCCATATGTGGAATATTTCACAAAAATGGCCTGTTTTTCAGGATGATAAAGGGTACTTGACAAAGTACAACTTAAGTACCTTCAACTTTTGATGATATCCACAACAAGACTCTCAAAGTAAAACATTTCTGGTCATCAGCACCTTTAAGCAGGACTTTTAACAATTAATATTTTGTCATGTTTCCAGAAGACAAACTGTTTGCTTTCTGTTTAACGAGTGCCAATTCTGA